GCAGGCCACCTATACTTCTCGCATTTCTTGCTACTTATTTTAGGTTGTTTTACAATTTAAAAAAAACAACAACCAATAATTGCTAATTATTTACTAGATTATTTTGAATATTTATTTTGAAAGAATGTTGAATTAAAAATCGACATCACAGCACTCGGGACACTCTCATAAGTGTTCAGTCCCAACCTTCAGCAGCAAAGCGAAGAGTTCAAATTCTGATGGTACCAGTAACCATCTGATTGTATATCCATCTCATCCTTCCACTGAGTGTTGAGCGTCGGCCAGATCCCCTGGTAATTCCTCGCAGCATCATTCTCCTTAGACCGTAATGATCTATATGGGTTTCCGCATTGTTCACTCGCTCACAAAGGGCCCTCATAATATCTAACTTGTCATACATCAGTTCACCACCAAGTGGTGCAGAGCCAGCCAGTCTATCTGCCTTCTCATTTCCCAACACACTGGCATGACCTGGAGAAAATATCCAAAGGATACTAACTACCCGGGACCTGTAAAGTGATGCTTGCCTCTCTGCACAAAGCATGCCTATTTTCACCTTTCTCACCATACTTTGTGAGTCAGTTATAATCACAGCTGATTCTCAAGCCAGTGGAGCCCAGCAGAGACTGCCTCCACCTCCATTCTCAAACTTGACGTTATGATATCATATGCAATGCTTTGCTGCACTGGGCGATTCTATTCACCTTCGCTATGAAACCCCATGCACTTCATCTGCCCCTCAACACAGAGCCATCGCTAGTCACATCACTTGGGTGGGAATTGTCATGAATCATTTGTTGAACTTCTGATTCTGCAGCACCAGCTGGCCGGTCTCTGCACTCAGGACCTAACGTGATTAGAACCTTACACAAGTCTGAAACTTGTTCGGACACCTTGACTCAATCCTCCCCTCGCTTAAAATTATCAAGCCTGCACACATGTCTGAATGTGTCTTCAGCTTGCGCCATCCAAGACCTTCCTCTTTTCAGTCTGTGACCCTTAGCTCTATACAGGGCTTCATGCAGGATATGCTTCTTGTCTGCAGCTACTCTGAAATATGACTTTTTCTGCAGGACCTTAAGCCTATCTGCAATTGTAGGCAGTGCAAGTATGTATCGCAAACATACTACCGGAGTATATCTTGTCCATCCCAGAATTACCCACATGACATCATTCTGTATGCTTTCGAGTTTTATCAGCTAACTCTTTGAAAGAAGAGGGCTGGCTACCCCATTTAATTATGCTAGAGGCAGTCAGATCGCCAGATTATGCAGTGGGCTAATACTGTATTCATATATGGGACATTCTAGCACCTCATTCCCATAGGTAAAGTAAAGAACTCTTTCCATGTTCGGTCATCTACATAGATGGATCCATGAAGTCCGGTCAACATGGGCATACACAGCACAAAGCATGGAGAAAACAGTACAAGAGGACAGGGGCGCTTATCAAGCAGCCGCGTCAAGCATGACCATAAAGATAGCATGGGCAGCAGAGCAAACATCCACACAGACTAATTGAATCAGACTCTGTGAACATGCTTCAGATGATAGCAACAGGCTGTATAAGCTCTGAATGGGATGAGGCATCAAAAATCGCATTTAAACTGCCTCACCTGGATCTACACACCTGGTCATGATTGCCAATTGGCAACCAATGTACCAGCGCATGTGAGAAGAAGCATGGACAGAGCAGATGTCATCAACGCTGTATGGACTGGGATAGTGGATAATGACGAATCTATGACACCAACACAATTGCCTGACATGGGAGTGAAGCATGGTGAAGCACATCTATGCCACCTTCGAGTCCAAGATAGGAGACATTATAACCAACCTCTCATGGAAACAATAAGTATAAGTACCTTGGAGTGGCTGCTGCAGTGGAGGATTGAGCACTCATTGGAATGCCCAGTGTGCAGTGAGGTTGACTGTGATAATATAACATTAAGATCTCTTTTCCACACTGTCAAGCATATTAGGTGTGTAGTGCTAGACCTAATTTTTTACTGACCAGTCAGCACTCGATGGGGGATGTGGTTAACATCCTGCCAGCTACCTTTACTTTCCAGGACTTTGCCTGGTACCTATTTTTTAGGTTGACCTGCTACTCAAACCTTCAGTAATTATAAATAATTAGATTTGAGTAGTTATGATAAAATGATAGTCTCACAGATACCTCTTCTTCTTCAGCATTCAAAGCCCTTGAGGTTTTTTGCTACAGATATCACCTGCTTCCGTTCGTCTCTCTGGTTTGAATTATTTTTCCACTTGGTGACACTAAGTATCTCTAGGTCTGTCTGGATGTTATCCCTTCACAATCTTCTTTGTCTGCCTTGTGGACTGCGACCATTCAGATTCCTTGTTTACAGCCTCTCTGTCATCTGACATTGTCTTAATATGTCACAGCCATATAGGCCTATTGACCCTCATGATGCCAGCGATCAGTGGTGATTTAAGCAGATTATGAACTTTGTTGCTGCTTCTCACTCTCCATTTCCTGCTGTCTGCATCTTTGATGGTCGAGAGATTCATCATAAGACTGTTTTCAAAAATAAGTTATAAGGCTTCATCTCTTTTAGTTGTGCTTTGAGTTTCAGAGCTGTATAAAAAAAAACTGGTCTTATCAGCACTTTGTATGTTTTGATCTTTGTGTTACAAGACAGAGATTTTGATTTTAGCGAATACTATAGTGCATAGTATACCTTCTTTTAAAACTATATTCTTGGTTGTATTTCGAGTCTGCATCAGAATATTTGTATGTTTCTGTTAGTTTGATTTTCATATTATTGATTTGTATGTTGCTGGAGTTATCCTTTTTCTATTTTGCTGTTACCACATATTGTCTTATCTTGATTGATAATTAGTTTTATAAATTAATTTATCTTTGATTAAATATAACGCATGACCACCTTTTTTTATACGTTCAGCAGCAATTCCATCAACACCAGTTGCCTTATTATTTTTATGACATACAGTACAGTACTTCGTACAAAATTAGGTTCTTCAGCATTTGGTTAACATATTAGTGTCTCTTCCTATGGATAAGTACTTAGTGGAGTTACACATTGTAACGATTCAGCAAAGTATTCCTTACACCTGTTAAATTTTTCCTCATTATTATTTATCATATTGCCATTGGGATCTTTTGAACCATGTATGCTGTGTTGATACCAACTAAAACAGTTGCTAATAAACTACAAACATTCATTAACTGGTGCCTGCGCAGAATAGAAGGAATTATGTGACACAGACATCAGAAGGAGACAGTTGTCATTTTTCAGCCATGTTATGAGAAGAGGGAAAATAGAACATGTTGTGACCACTGGAAAGATCTGTGGAAGGAGGGATAGAAGAAGACAATGAGAGAAGATGCTTGACAGTATGGTTGCATAGCATGGAGGTGTGTCGGCACACGAACTGATACATGCTGCAGGAGATCGCAGATTATCGAGAGGCATGATTGCCCACGCCAGTCGGCAAGGCACCTGATGATGATGATGTGATATTATAGAATCACTAACAATGAGCTTTGGGAGATAACTAAAAAGGTTCCAGTGGATCAAGGGGAAATTGCTAATTGTCAGTGGATCCAGAGGTGAAGAAAAGACGCTGGCATTGGATAGAACTTGAGAACAATATAACTAAAATGCCTTTGATCTGGAACCCACAGGGGCATAGAAATAAAGGCAGACCTAAACAAAATAAAAACACTGATAAGGGTGCTAGAGAGTAAGTTAAAAAGATGGGAAGGACATGGGGTGAGCTGCATGCAGTAGCAAAGAATAGAGCGACAGCATGAGTTGGTTAAGGGCCTATGCTCCATTGGGAGATACAAGGCAGAAGAAGAAGAATGCTGTGTTGTGTTGATGCCCTCATTTTATAGCCTTCAGTTCTGTAAAAAAAAACAAAAAAAAACTTTCGGGATTCATTGTTTCGATAGTTAGCTTGCACATTCTAGACAATATTGTTATTCTAGTTTCAGTTTTGCTGCCCAACCACTTTTATAACTTCTTTACAATCTGTTCTATATTTTTCGTTATTAAGTATGTTCCTATATTATTTGGCCACATGTACCTGGCATATCTTTTCTTAGTAAATTTAAAAAAAAAAACCATGCTTCTTTACATTTTTTATCAAGCTATTTTTCCTATCTGTTTGTGGTTGAAAAACCAAGACAGTGGTTTGAATTATATTCTTAATATCCACCCGTGTTTGGTCAGTGTTTTTCTGTGACAGCTTTTGTAAAATTTCCCACAACTTTTTTTTGACAGCAAATCCTGTTCCCGGTTCATGTCTGTCTTGCATGTTTCCTCCGTATATTATGTTCATTCTGTTTTTCTTCCATGGTACCTTGACCTAACCACCTTATTTCTTGAGTAATGTTATATCCATTCTGAAATCCAATAACTCATGGTTCAATTTTTCAGCTGCTTCAGCTCTTTAAATGGTTCATACATTCCATGTTCCATATCTACACAATCCTTTAATGTTCCAGTATTGTCTTTAAATGTATCTGAAATCAATGCTTAGGTATCTGTTTTGTGACAAAATGAAGTTTTACAAAGGTGTCTATCATCCCCATGCTTCAACTCCCAATCTGGAAGATCAGAGTGTCTTTCTTTCTTTGACCTGTTTGGCTTGGAAGGCTTTGCTACCGTTGGCATAGCTCTTAGGGTCATTAAGAAGCACAAGATTCCCAACCACGGCAAGGTGGAGACACTTTCAGGGGAACCTGCAATTTAAAAAACACATAAATAATAACCTCTACCATCTGTCTATAAAGCGTCAACTTTATCTTTGAGATTGATTTTTTTTTATTTAAGTGGGCGGTGGTGGAGTAAAATAGAAAAAATATTTAGATGAAGACTAACTGAATATTGATTCCCACTGTTTTATTGCAAGGTGTGCAAATTGTGATTTGGTTTAACAATATTAAATTCTCTCACCACACAAAAGTTGAGTAGTCTTGACAATAATTATTTGTTTCTTTTTGTTTAGGTTGATGGCAAAAACTACCATGTTCTCAGAACTGGCTGTTTTCCCTACATTAAGTACCACTGTTCCAGCAGACCATATGAAAACCTTGATGCAGAAAACTACTTTTACACTTTTCTGAAAGCTGTCAACTTGGGTAAGACCTACACCTGCAAATCATTTTCTAGTCATAATATTCCTTTGCTAATTTTTTTTACCTGGTCACAACATTTAGAATATTTCATTGGATTTGAAATGATGCCTGTTTACAATAAATAGCATAATTTCTAGATTTTGTGTAGTTAGTCATTTTGTACAAAAAAAAATAGCAGCAAAACATTCTAATTGACTGTAAAAGAAATAAATTTAGCAAATCTGAGATGCCCTGTACTATGATGGGAGCTGCTATCATTACACTATTAGTTGATTGCAGCTCAGTGTCATTGTTTTTTTGTTTTTTTTTTGTTTACCATGTTTTAAGTGGCTTGTGATGACCCTGCTTTGCATGGTCTCCACGAGTACATTGTGGCAAGCAGGAAGTCCGTGCTACAAGTTACGGCACGAGATACTTGTGGCCGTTGGAGTAAGCGAGGCGAAGCCCGAGCTAGCCTCGTGGTCAGTCGATCATCAGAAGTCAGAGAAGACGGTTGTAGTATTTGAAGATGTCGTCTTTATGTTGCGCAAATGTTTAATGTTCGAATATGTCGCGAGTGATACAGTGTGAATAATGTTTGAACATGTGAAATAAATGGACGAGAATAAACTGACAGATTGCACAATGAAGCTGAGCGGCGTTTGTGTTGTCAACCCTAGACGTTAAAGTTGGTGTAAATCAAGGTACATGTCAAGTCTACGTCAAGGTTCAGTTCAAGCAGACCACGATTCATTCTAAGTTGAATCAGAATCATTCCAAGTGAAGCATTAATTCATTACAAGTGGGGTGCTTGTCCGAAGGAAATTCGAAACCACGCGGACCATAAGCATAGGAAAAAATTTTTGGTTCTTCCAAGGTAAGATAAACATTTACATCGTCTTTACCCGAGCAGAGCTTATTAACACAGCAAGCGCCGACGGGTCAGCTACCGACCAATGAAAACCGGTGTGTCATCTACGCCCGGCCAAACACCGGATCACTAAATTTTGTGAATTCAGGAAGTTTCATGTTTACCAAAGGTACATATCAGAAATATTTTAAATCTTGTTTGTAAATTAAATCAGGTTTGTGACGATTATTGTTTCTTACTGAAACTAGCAGACTATGAACCAATTTTATTTACTGTTACGATCAGTTTGCTTACTACGGTGACATTTTTGCATCGATTGTGCATTTATCAGAATGGCATCTAAAAGGTTGGTAAAAAGTAAGAACACTTTGTCGCAAGTATCTTCAGCGACAACAATGAAAGATACATCGATAAGTAACCAGAAGATCAAGATGTGCATTTTTTGTAAGTACCAGCACAGTTCTGCAACTATCTGCAACAGAGATCCTAAATATTCAAGTTATATTGAAGACTTGGTCAATAAAAAGTGGCGAAATAAACAAAATGACAACCTTAAAAAATGTTATTTCTGTAAGGCATTCGGACATATTGTAAAACACTGTGTTGGAAAACAGATGTTAAAAGACAAGAAAAGATCCTTGTTTGCAAAAACTAATTCAGTTACAATGGATTCAGAAGGTATTCCTACTCTAGATTGTTCACTGTGCTACTGGAGAAAGAATCAAGGAAAAGTTACAGCTCCACATATCATGTTTATAGGAAAAAGCCAATTGAAATGTCCAGGAACTAAAAAAATTAAGAACGAAATCGTGATTGCAGAGCTAGAATCCAGCAAGAGTAGTAATACAAGAAAGAAAGTTGAAACGAAAAAAACAGCAGCCACTGAAACAGAGAAAAAGTCAAACTCAGAAATAATGGAAATTAATCAGCAACCACCAACTTTTCTAGAAATGAAATCTAAATCTGATTCAACCAAGAGTCACAATCAAGGAAAAAATGGATTGGAAACGCAAAGTATGAAACAGGCAGACTGTGAAATACTAATAGATAAACAAGCCATGAATAAAGAATTTTCATTATTAGAGGACAATAAATATATAGATTATGATCAATTCCACAGAGCAACAAGTCAGAAATATTGGGAAAAGTCAACTAAATGTTTGATAAACAAGAAACCAGCACAAATGCAATTAAATAGAAAATCAAATATCACTTTGGTACGTGAAAATTTTTTAGAAAAATCAGATTATAGCGGAGAAATGGTTTACTGTATAAACAGAGATTTTTTTATGCGATTTTGGACAGCTTATATTTATTTGAAGTCGCCCTATATATCAAGACCATTGAAAGTAGTGGTAACGGACAACATCGAGACAGATGTGATTCTGGGATACAAAGACTTCAACATTAGAGACTGTTCTGATGAAGACATACGAGTCTGGGAACAAAGTCATCTCCATCAACAAAAATAACAGCTGATTCAAGGAAAAGTACCATCAACTGAAATATCACTATTTACGAACATGAAACTATACGGTCCATTATCCTGAACATCAACATCAAGACAACATATCACCATGCATGAAGTTCAAGATTATCAGTCAGGAAGCTACATAGAACCACCTTCAACCTAACGATCAAGAGTAAACCTGAACAATCATCCAGAATTGATATTTTACCATTCTTCACCTGTAAGATTGGCATATTTCAACCAAAATAAGAAATCACCAACCTGTACTGTACAGGGAATGAACAGAAACATATCAGCCACTGAATTATTCAAACCTGAAAATCACCATCAAGGAACACGAAATTGTTTTTTCTCCAGATACCTCAAAATCGACCATTGAAACATTTCAAAATCATCAAATTTACGCGACACTTTAAGAGCATCTATACAATATCAAGATCGTCGAGTACCAAACGTATCATAAAATAAAGAATGCGAGAATAATGAAGCATTCCTACAGTTTAAGCACAATCAACAGCCACAAAAATGTCAGTATCGTGTGTACACAAATATTAATTGTGAAAGTTAATCAAGTTAATTATCTAGTGTTTGTGTAAATTTCAAATTAATGAAGTATTTTAAAAAAAAGTGCATAAACACTTGATTTCATTTATAAAAAGCAGCCATATACTGTGTGTATTGAACACCTTCCGTTTAATCCCATTACTAATTATTTTAAAGGTGGCATATCAGTGTATGCAGTCACTGAACACTGTTAATAGTATTGTTAACTTATAAAATTATATTTTTAGTTGGTATATTTGCAAGATTGCCAGCTGTCTTACTAAGAGAGACCCCAGAGCAGAGCAGACTGTCGAGCAAACGAAGGAATGACAACCTTGAAAGCAAGCGCCAGAGTACAAGCAAGACACAGCCTGCAGGGATGGATCAAGATCAAGGATAGTTATTGGAATGAATGGGAATGAAAGAGAATAAAACAGGTATGAATGATGAATGAAAGATTTGTGGGTAGTATTTTAATAGTGTACATGTATTTTACTTAGGTTAGTAGTTCATTAGGATTATTTTAGGATTCATGTAATGACAGAGTTGGTAGTTCATTAGGAATAGTTTAGTATTCATGTAATGACAGAGTTAGTAGTTCATTAGGAATAGTTTAGTATTCATGTAATGACAGAGTTAGTAGTTCAAAAGTTTAAAAAGAAAAAGAAAAAAATTATCTCCCCAGGAACAGCACAGAAGAATTAAATCAAGATTTAGCGATAGATCATATAGAAATCTTTTTCCACAGAATGACTTAGATAAAAAATTCAATTTGAAATGTTTTAGCATAGGTGTACAGCACAGGGACATGGTAAATTGGTCCACGACCCCCAAGATTATAAACTGCTATAATTATACTGATGCTGACTAGATGGACTGATGGTAAAGAAAGAGTGCACACATCAAAGCACAAGCAGAGTATAGGAGTTGAACTCATCTGTGTCCATCTAAAGGGGGAAAGGTGTCTGAGATTCCTTGGGGTTAAGTACCCTGTTAAAGGTGTTATAGACTTGGAGGAAACTCTAAGATCTATGAACAAATATATCTCAACTATCATTGTTTTCATGTTGGATTCCTTGGGGTTGGGTAATTACTCTGTGAAAGGTGAGACTTTGGTCTATGAAAAAATATCTCAACATGCATTTTTTTTAATGTGGTAGATTCCTTGGGGTTGGGTAATTACCCTGTAAAAGGTGTTATAGAGGCTTTTGGGAAACTAGAAGCACTATGATAAATATATCTTACCACTATCATATCGGCTAAGAGTCCTTGGGGTTTAACACCCTGTGAAAGGTGATGTAGAAATATTGGTTCAATCCAATTTTCTATGTGGTAAATATCTCAAAGCTGACATCATCATCATCACTATCATCATTTCACTTTAAACCCGATAGATTAGATATAGTGACTAGACAATACTACAGATGCAATAGGTGTAAAGATGGTTTAAACTCTTCACCAGCTCAGTACTGGGAAGCAGGCAGTAAATATTGAAGGCAGTTTTTTAAGGGCAGTAATTGAGGATAATCAGGAACCATAATCCATAGTGGTAATACAATTAAATTGATTTACTATATCTGGTTAAATGAAAATGACACTTGATGTTCCATAAAGTGTCATTTTGTTAAAAAGGGGGGAGAGTGTGATGACCCTGCTTTGCATGGTCTCCACGAGTACATTGTGGCAAGCAGGAAGTCCGTGCTACAAGTTACGGCACGAGATACTTGTGGCCGTTGAGTAAGCGAGGCGAAGCCCGAGCTAGCCTCGTGGTCAGTCGATCATCAGAAGTCAGAGAAGACGGTTGTAGTATTTGAAGATGTCGTCTTTATGTTGCGCAAATGTTTAATGTTCGAATATGTCGCGAGTGATACAGTGTGAATAATGTTTGAACATGTGAAATAAATGGACGAGAATAAACTGACAGATTGCACAATGAAGCTGAGCGGCGTTTGTGTTGTCAACCCTAGACGTTAAAGTTGGTGTAAACCAAGGTACATTTCAAGTCTACGTTTCGCTTCATTACAGGCTTAAGTGGTGGATTTGTTGACACATTTTTTTTTTTTTTTGCAGGATTTCAACTCTCATTATCCATCTTTGCCTTGATATTCTTTTGTCTCCTGTCCCGATGTTCTTCTGTAC